CCAGGCGCCCTTTAAAACAAAAATTTTAAAGGCAAAATTTAATCACTCTCTTCAGTGGAAAATTAGTAATTATTGTGAAAAAATACAAGGTAGCAAAAAAAAAAATCACTTAAAAGGAAAGCAAAATATTACTAAATTCTAGCTGAACACTGGTGCCTAGCAAGGCAGTGAGTGAGCTTGAGTCCATCTCACTACTTACAAAAAGGGAGGGAGGGTATTAGCAAGTATTTGAAATAAGTAAAGAATCAAATAGAGGCTTTCTCAATCCAAAAGAACTGAATGACTAAAAGCAGGGTTACTTTCTCTCAATTGATTTGCTGTTATTTAAAGTTGTGTCTAGGTGTCCCTCTAGTAATGCATGACATATATATTCCACACACTGGAAGCAAAGGGTACAGGGGAGATCAACCAAAATGTAAATCTCATTAGTGAATCTATACTGTGAGCCTGAAACCTTATGGTATGCAGAGGTCAAGATGGAGATCTCACAATCATAGTTGGAAACTAATATTATTTCAGAAAACAAAGGATCAAAACAGATAAAAACTTAGTGTGGATATTCTGTCACCAGCTGGACTCCAAAACCTGGTAAAAGTAAAGGGAGAAAAATCTTGACCCTTATTTTACATATCACACAAAAACTGATTTGGGATAGATTAAAAACCTAAATGTAAAAAAATAACAGTATAAAGCTTCTAGAAGAAAATGTAGTGAGTATCTTCACAACCTAGGGTAAATAAAGATTTCTTGGACTGGTCACACAAAACATGAACCAAAAGAGAAAAAAACAGATGAACTGGTCATCATCAAAATTAAAAGCTTCTGCTCCTCAAAAGACATTGTTAGGAAAATGAAGTTCAAGTCAAAAACTAGGAGAAAAGATTCACAGCACGACTTTCTTAAAAAAAGGACTTGTTTCTAGATTATATAAAGATCTCCTACAAACTAAAAAGAGATAATACAATTAAATAAATTGGGCAAAAGATGTGAACATACCTCTCATAAGAAAACATATAAAAATGGAAAATAAGCATATGAAAAGGTGCCAAACATCATTAATCATCAGAGAAATACAAGTTAAAACAACAATGAGATATCATTTCCACCTATAAGAATCACTGAAGGTTGGCAAACATGTTGGAGCAATTGTGTCTCTCACACATTCCTGGGAGTATGAAAATGTTAAATTACTTTGGAAAACTGGCAGTTTTGTATAAAGTTAACATACACATACCCTATGAACCCGTAGTTCCATTCCTAGGTCATTACCCAAAAGAAATGAAAACGTATGTCCACAAAAAAATTTATATATGAATGTTGATAACACTTTTATTCAGAAGAGCCAAAGCTGGAAATAATACAAATGTGCATCACCAGATGAATTAACAACCAATTGTGGTATATTCATATAATAGAATACTATTCAGCAATGAAAATAAACTGTTCAGACTTTGTAACAAAAGGGATGAATCTCGCAGACTTTGTGAGCAAAAGAAGCTATACATGAAAGACTACACACTATATAATTTCATTTATATAAAATTCTAAAGCAGACAGAACTAATTTATGGTGATAGAAATCAGATCAGTGTGGTTGCCTAGGAAAGGGGGTGGGAGAGAGATTGGTGAACTGATTGCAAAGGGGCACCAGGGAACTTCCGGGTAATAAAAATGTTCTTATCTAACTGGGGTAGTGTTTACATAGGTGTATGCACTTTCTCAAAATCCAATCAACTGTACATTTAAAATTTGCACATTTCATTATATGTAAAGTTAACCTAAAATTTTCAAAAGAGGAAGAAAAAAGTCAACAGGTTTTACCTCTTTTTTCTAATCTCAGAAAGCCTGCATACCATACTATGTCACTAGCACTAAGATAAAAAGCTTTAGAAAAAAAATAATCTTAAGTGATCAACAACTTCCGAATTTAAACTTAAAACATCTTTCACAGGGAAATAAAGAACTTTGTTCCTAATAAATAACAGTTATAATGCTATTACTGGTAGTAGTAGTAATAATAGTAATAATAATAATAATGTATAAATATTTGTTTTCCAGGCACAGTTCTAAGTATCAAAAACCTCTATGGGTTCTGTAAATTCAACTCCCTATAAAGCCAGATGAAAAAGAGCTATAAAAGCAGAAAAGACATAAAAAACAAAAAAGCAAACACATCCTCAAGCCAAGCATGCAGTCTTTAATAATTTGTGATTTTAGTCCTACTAAAAATTCTGAGTTCTTACCTCTCATGAGACTGAGGGATATGGTTAATTCCTGTTCCAAAATGCTAGGGACATCTGTTCTCCCCAAATTGCTCAAGGTCTCTCCAGTTCTACCAATTAAAACTCTAGATAGAAACCAAGGTTCCTAACTAGAAAACATTCTCTTTGAAGACACCAGAGCAATTTCTCCACAACACTCCAACAGAAGGTTGAATAAAGATTGGAGTCTGCTAACTTTCTCAAGCTTCTAAAACCTCTTTGGACCTCAACTTATGCTGGCATGCTTATTACGCTGTTCATCCATGACCCCCTCTCTTCAATGACTCTTTTCTATACTGTCATCCCCTAAAACCACTGTGACTCACCAACTTCTTCCCCTTGAAGCACAGCTGGCCCTGTAGAGCCTTGAAGGACCCATTCTCCCACCCTCAATGGGCATTGCCCTGAATCTGTATAAGCACTTCAGATGATTACTTAAGTATACTTACCAAAAGTCCTGTTTCCTTTCAGATATATACCATCAAACTATGCCACCTTCTAGTCTTCCCAGTATTTTAGCTACCTCATTCGTTGAGGACTCTGGAACCAGTTTATTTATTTTTTCTAAAGATTTTATTTGACAGAGAGACACAGCGAGAGAGGGAATACAAGCAAGGGGAGTGGGAGAGGGAGAAGCAGGCTTCCTGCTGAGCAGGGACCCGACGCAGGGCTCGATCCCAGGACCCTGGGGTCATGACCCAAGCTGAAGGCAGACGTTTAACGACTGAGCCACCCAGGCGCCCCTGGAACCAGTTTATAAAATTTCTATACATACTTATTCTCTGACTTGTTATAGCAGGTTCCCAATGTCCTTGAGGCCAATGCACTCTTCAACCTGTCCTTCAATGTTCCTTTTGTTCCTCAACTCCCAACAACCTTCACCTATACCAAAGCAACCCATTTCTATGGATAGTAGCAATATGTAAATTGCTCTACCTACAAAATCATGAGCTGTAATATCTCAATAACTAGTAGCTCTTCAGCTCCTTCCCTTTATTGTTACAACAGCTGTTTTCTGGGCTCATAAGCTCTCCAGTATCCAAAATCTCCTTGTTTCTCCCATTTTATTATACCAATCACTTCCTCATTTTCTTCTTACTGCCCTCAACCCCAATTACTTCAATTACTTTCTTCCTAGTACCCTCAACTTTCTCCCACCAGCCTATGTAAGACATACATACCCAACCCTAGAAAACGACCCGTCTTGAACTGACTTGACTCCCCCACCCTCTGTCTTCTCTGGTGCTATAACTGAATGCTGCATAATCCTGGATGAAGCCATTCCCATAAATGAGAGTCACTACAAAACTATGCCTTCTCCCCTCAACAAATAAATTAATATCCATAAGCTGCTATTTTGTTCTCTCATTCATCTATTCTCCCCTGGACAAAATGACAAGACGGAAAAACTCACCTCAAAAAAAAAAAGAGTAAGAGGCAGTACCGACTGCCAGGGACCTAATCAATACAGACATTAGTAAGATGTAGGAACTAGAGTTCAGAATGACGATTATAAACATACTATCTGGGCTTGAAAAAAGCACAGAAGATACTACAGAATCCCTTTCTGGAGAAATAAAAGAACTAAAATCTAACCAAGTGGAAATCAAAAAGGCTATTAATGAGGTGCAGTCAAAA